AAGCAGTGGTCACCAAACTTTATAAAGCTTCTGAGACATTTTATACTGATACCGTTTTAAAATTTTACTCTGAGGTACCAACGAAAGGAACTACCAACTTTTTTAAAAATTCTTACATTTGTTTATTGTCTATAAACTTGCATTTCTAGTAATTATGAAATCAATTTTAATTAAACTGTATATAACTAAAAGAAATTGAATTGTATATAAGTAAGAAACTGAATTGTAGTTAGCAATAAATGACAAATGTAATAACATAATTTTTATCAGACTTATTAACTTTAATGAGAAGGGTGGAACTTTTGCCATCAACAATTTTTTTATTTAGGGGGAGTAGGTAATGGTTGCCATTCCAATACATCAGCGAGTGGTTGCCATTCCAATACATCCAAGTGTTCATCAGCGAGTCTGTTCCTGTACTATTTTTTAATAAATTTCATTCTGGAGAAAGAAATCTCGCGCAGATATGTAGTGTTGAACATTGCCTTCTCTTTGAGACAAATCTGGACTAAAATTGAGTATTTCTCTTTACGAACAAGAGGCCAAATATTTTCAGAGTTTGAAAGCTATTTTACAGATAACTCTTGCATGTGCTCTTTGTTCACTATTTTTATGATTGTTTTCATTACATTGTTCATACTTAAAATCCTTCCACACAGTGACTTCTGGTGTATTACACAATGGCAAGATGGAACTTTTTGGAAAGCTATTCTGTTTACAACACAAGGTTATGAATCCCTTTTCTCTGCCTAGCATCGCAGGAGCTCCATCAGTTGCTAAGCCCACGAACTTATTTATAGGAATATTTTCATAGTTCATACAATCTTTAACTGCTAAAATTATGTCCTGTCCTGTTAACGGTATAATCTTTATCAGCTCCTCTCACATTTAGAAATTATCAAAAACAGCCAACTTAGCTGTATGAACTATATCAGTCGATTTCTTAAGTTGCAGGAAGAAATAGCTGCATCGATCAATGTCGGTTTTAAGTTGTGAGGCAATGCCGGAACTCCTAACCTTAACCTTTCTCATTCCTGTATATGCAGAAACCTGTACAGATTTAACAGCAGACATTACCTCAGTTTTATTTTTGAAACTATCAAGTAATGCATCTACAGCTTCTGAAAATGCACTTTTATTATTTCGCCGTCCTCACGTGGTGTCTTATTCTGTGCAATAATATTTGAAACTCGAAATGACACCTCATTTGCTGCTTTATTTTTATTTAATGGTTTTTAAAAAAAGTTGATTCTTGAGCATTAAGTTTAGATTTTAGCTACCTTACCCTTCCTTTCCATAGAGCAAAATTCAGTAGGAAATCCTTTTTAATCCCTGCATGAACAATTTTGAAGGGACATTTGGTGTTTCCTTTCTTCCCAACTGATACACTTGCACAGTGCAGTAAACATACACATTTGCCCTTTACCTGCGTAAAGAAGTAATTAGTTTCCCATTTTGAACAAAAGGGTAGGTTTTTTGCTTTTTCCTTTAACGTACCATCATTAGAACAGACCTAGCTTAGTGCTAATGTGTAAATCGAACTACCCAAGTTGGCAAATGTCCAATATACATATGAAAAACACAACGTATACAACCTCATATACATATAATCAACTGTCAGATGAGGCTGACAATACCAGTTGCATGGGAGAAACAAGCAGTTATTGTCCTGAGAGCCCGCTGTCATCAGCATCAGTTCAGCAGAGGAATCAAGGATAGCCAACCAGAGGGTTAATGCGAGCTTCCAAAAATGTTCCCAAGAGCTACTAGTAGCTCACAATCAACAGTTTGGTGATCACTCCCTTAAGGAAGTGTCCAGCCAATGAAGAGAAATGTATCACATGTTCATTTCTATTTGTACTTAAAATATATCATATAAAATATTTGCTGGCCTGCAAAATACTCTTCACAAGATTGGTAGATTATATATACATCAATGGTAATGATGTATAGATAATCTTTCAGGTAATTGAGATATAGTGTGAATGTCCAAACTTAAAAGATCTTCTGTTAACATGATATTACTTAGCACCAAGCATAAACATTGAGCAAAATCTAAATAGATGGTAGCAGCCCTAATGATACGTAAAGCTTAAAACAGCTTTAACCTGCAATAATAATGTGTCATGAAATATAATGTGGGCAGTGCTGAATATGTTTGCAATGCCAAGTTTGTGCAATTCCGATGTTTTCTAAGTGAAAGCAGATCACTGTGTATACGCCGAGAACAAAACTGGGTACTTGCATATTATTTACCGCGACCCCCCCCCCCGTATTCCAAATTATAGACATTTTATGAATAAATTGTGATTTTCCCCCTTAAACTCGGTTTTATAATAAGTGTTTGTAAGATTTTCTTATGGTAGAAGAAATTGCAGGAGTGCAGTATTTTATGGCAAGATTCCTAACGGAGCAATGCTTCAAATTCTTTCTCGAAGTGAATGCTGTGAAATTTCCACCACAACAAAAACAAAAAAAACCATTTGTAACTATGTTTTTCTGTTTTTTTGAATAAATATATAGCTGAAATGTAAAATATTTATGTTGTGTATAATTTTTTGCAATAAAAAGTAATTTTAGTGCTTCTTTGTAATAGCAGCCCCCAAGAATGAATCGCCAATCAACCGAGATATCTTGTCAAAATTTGGTTTTGCAGTCCGATACCATGCCACGTGATCGTACATTAGCATTGGCCGCATGTTCTTATGCCTCGTCATGAAATCATATATTAGGACTGTGTAACATTTTTGCTCTCGCCGCGTATTCTTATGTAATTCATTTTTGATGAGTTTTTCAAATTCACGTCCTTTGTTTTAACCCTTTGCGGTCGTATGTCCACTCTCAGCCACCAAAGCCTTTTTACCGTTCCAGTTGTATGTCTGCTCTCAGCCACCAAAGCCTTTTTACCGTTCCGGCCGTATGTCTGCTCTCAGCCACAACAGCAAGGAACTATATGAATCATATACTGTATGCATTCATGTGTCAGTTTACACTTTTCCTATACGAACCTCAATGCCTAAAGAACCTTTTCACGAACCAATATGGTGCTCCATCATTTGGAGATAATGTAATCTAATCTAAACAAAAGTTGTGACCCTGCGCTCACCATGCAAGACGCAGTGGCGAGTCAGTCGTCTTTTGAAACGTAATGAAATCGCAACAACGTTTCGACAATAACCTTGTAGAATTCCAAAGGAATATTTTATAAATTGTATTTAACAGTAATTAGACATCTCTCTTCTTAAAATATTCCAAAATAATTCCCCAAAATTCAGCTAGAAGAAAGAACAGGATATGCCTATGTCATATTTTATGCTCGTTCGAAAATTGGTGGCATAAACTGGTAGGTGATTTTCGTGAAGGAACAGATTCAAAACCAGGAAGACCATTGACCTCCGATAAGGGAGGAAGACTTAATGTAAAACTGCATATATTGCGGCATTGTGAAAATGTAAAAAGTAAAGACTGTAGTGTATGTTCAAACAGAAAGATTAAGGGTAGAAGGCACCAAACCAATTATTTTTGCGATACATACACTCGAAAACCTGGCCTGCATGTTGGAGAGTGTTTTGAAAAATATCACACGAAGGAGAATTATAAAACATAATTTTTATACAAAAACATATCACTAGATAAGTGTATTGAATAAAGATATATCTTAAGTTCACAAAAGAATTACTAAATCTTGTTTATCCATCGTAAACTTGCGTGTTGTGTATCCTTGCTCTATCGATGGAAATTAATTCCGACCAGTACGATACCCATCTCCAAATTTAATCGGACCGCAAAGGATTAAAATGTATTCCTTGATTTTTGTTGGTGAATATGACATTAACAAACTTCAATTTACCAAGTAATGAGGTGGATGCCATATCGTTTTTCAAGAAAGACATCTTTTAACTGACAAACGAGTATGCGAAAATGGCCACAACATGAAATATGTTAAAGGCAAAAAGACTTCCATTTGGAGGTGCAATGTTAAAAATTGTGAAAAGAAGAGCTTCCATGTTGGAAATTGGTTTAGTGGTTCCAGAATATTGTTTGTCACTGCTATATGTGTCCTTGGGCAGAGGAGTCGACATCCATAAAATAGTGTAATTAGCAGCCTAATATATGTGAAAGTGCTACAGTTTACTGGAACAATTACATGTGGTAAAATAATTATGGGAAGAATTCTTAAAAATATTCTTGCCAAACAACACGCGAGTATTAGTGTTATTATATATTGTGTTGTTTATTTTTGTAGTTATGCATCAGGAGCTTAATGAAAGTATAGCAGAGTTCTTGGCTCAGATGTAAAATTCCAAATATTGTTGGCAGCCCCTATAACAAAGAAACACCATAATTTTCATAAAATTCTCGAAACTGCTGCAAGGTGTTGTGATTATACATAAGTACCCAAATCTATTATGGATACATGCACATTGTGATCGGTTTTCACTTCAAAAAATCTGATAATTTTGCAAATTTGGCAGTATGCACAGCCTTGCCTATATTTTTTACATTAAACACTGCACAGCTGTCCGTGACACTGTGTAAAAAGCCTAAACATTTGGCATTTCAATGCACATTTTGATGACTATCACCATTAACAAAAAATTGCTAGATGAAATTATAATAAAGATTTTTAGTATTCAGTGTTTCTTCTTATCAACTATTAGGCTTAGTTGCCATAGAGGTAACATGTGGCCCCCTGCTAGGTTAGCAAAATTTGTTATTGACAAAATTTCTGAAATGATGTATATTTTCATACTGTTAATTATTTGACAGCTATCTTCATACAGAGATTGTTTGAAATTAATATTATAAAAATCTTGAATAACTAATATTTATTATTATAGGTTGTATTCATAAATATTTGTTAAAATATAACATATGACGCAGCTTGCATCCGCAGACTGACCTGCAAGGATATAAAATTTTGATGCCACTGATGTAAAATAATAATTTTTGAACTTTTAAATATATTTATCTGATGTTTGCTGTATTTTTCTTGACAGGTTGATGCTATGCTCAAAGATTTTATTCTTACAAATGATGCACTTCTTAAAGTTTCTGCCCTTTTATTGCAAGAATTCAATAAAGGTCTGAGTTCTGCATATCATAATGAAGCAACTGTTAAAATGTTTCCTACATTTGTAAGAGATGTTCCAGATGGCTCAGGTAAATATATAATCTAATTTTATGTGACTGTAAAATATGTGTTGTAACACAGTTCAATGATATGTCACGGATCTAATATGAAAACTTAAAATATTAAACACTAAAATCCTTTTTTAGATCATTATCAAATTAAACACTTTTGTCTGCCTGTTTTTATGTATCAAAAATTAACATTGTGAACAAATATCTGATTACTGCTTAAGTTGTTCAGATTCTGATGTTTGTTAATTTGAGAATAAATACTGTTATCATATTACTCTCATAGCTGTGTGAATTCCTTAATATCCCATTTCAAAGTATTTAAAACTCCTTTACTTGAAACAGCAATAAGTTCTTTTAGTTAGCTATGTTGTGTATGAAAAATTAGTTTTCAGTTTGACAATGAGTAAAAATTAAAAGCTTTGCTGTGTTTGTAAGAAATTGTTTAAACTTCTGTGTATTGCGAAACTTTAGGGAACATATGGCTATTAAAGATGTTAAAACAATTCCAATATATGTTTTCATCCTTTCAAGTATTTTATTACAGTTTTGTAAAATATTTTTTTATTTTGATTTATTTAAAACCAGTTTATAATTGTTATTTTTTTATATGCATATGTTCTACTATATTTTCTGTGGAATTTTAGCATGTGAAAGATGATAGAAAATGGAAATATTAGTAACATGCAGTACTATAGAGTGATCATTTCTTATGCTGTTTTAAAAATTTATAGTATTATAACTGTAATTAAATAAGGCAGAGGCATATCAGTATATGAAATCCTCAGTTTTATATATACCATACAAGTACTCAGTATTTAAACAGATATTGGTTTTAGATAAATGGTCCAGTGAGATGGCAGACTGCTTGAATTTTTTGTGTCACTTGTCTCCAGGTGCTTTTATTTGATATTTCATGAAATATCATCGACAACAAAAACAGACTCATATTTAGCAAAGTTGCAGAGAGCTTTGCATTCACCAGTGAATACCATGCTTGTGTTATATTCCCACATAGTTTTATAATTGCAGTGTAGTGGCTAATTCAACAATTATGGTTGGTCCATTATGAAAGCAAAGTCAGATTTTTTATGTACTGCTGTACACATTTTTGCTGTATTTATAATAGTTATTAACCTAAACTTTTGACAGCCCAAAGAATTATGAGTCGCCCTGTATAATTTTGGAGATCAAATAGAATCAAGTACAGTCAAAAGTCTTTAATCCGGATGTCCATAATCTGGAATGATCTATAATACGAACCTCAAAGCTACAAACTTTCTGTGCGTAATACCTTTATGCATGCACATATGCGTTTACTGTATAACGGATGGTATAAGCTAAGCTAAAATTATCTAATTATCTATTTCAGTTAATGTTGCAGATTGCGTTGTTCCTTAATCTTCGAATTGGATCTGGCTTATTATTTTTTGCAGACTGTTAGAGCAATTTTATAAAAGTAAGCTTGAACTTTCTATTATGTCGAATAGAATTTCTGATTCTGGAGCTGCCAAAGGATCTACAAAGCGAAAGCATGTTTCGATGTCCATCAAATAAAGAGTGGAATTGCTGCAGAAAATGGATAAAGGCATGAAGAAATAACAGAGAGGTTAGTGAAAACGAAAAAATTTCGATTGACAAGTTAGTCGGTATTCTCGGCACAGCAATTACAGGACTTGAACAGTGGAACTTTGTAACTGAACAAGAAATTATCTCTGTTTATAGAATTAAAGAGAAAGTATTAGCACATAAAACGAAGCAACTTGAACAACTTGCATTGAAAGAAATGTTTAATAAAGTAAACAAATAAATATTAAGCTTTTTTTGTAAATTTTGATACCCTTTAGATCATAATTGCTCTTTATTTCATAAATTACAGTTTTATATTTTTAATTTTATAATTTCTGCATGCCATCTTACCAGATTTAAATTGATGATCTATAATTCCGAAAAACCAATAATCCGGAATTGCCGAAGTTCCGATGAATCTGGATTAAAGACTTTTGACTATACAAATAATCTTTGATTTGCACCCTTCTTTTGAAAAGTCCCCAATTTTGTGCCAATCTAAGACATGAAAGATAATAGCCTTTTTCAAAAATAGTGACACACTAAGAATAACATAAAAAGGCAACCAATTAACAAAATTAAGATTTTAAGAAACATCTCTAATAAAGCACTTAACTTTTTGTCACTCTTCTGTTTGCATTCGGTTTTAGATTCAAATAACATCACAGAATTGTACAAAGTTGGCAATCTGCATGTTATTGTTTTCCCATGTACACAATTGATCTGGTTTCATTTTTAAAAAAAATCGGAGATTATACAAATTGAGCATCAACAAATAAAATTGAATCCATAAGAATCGATCATTTACAAAGTTCATCTTCACACAATACAATAAATAAACAAATGAATTTTTTCATTTTGTACTTTTGGGGAAAATGCCTGTTTCTGAAGAAATTCTACACTTTTTTTTCATAAGCCACAAACTCCACAGTCCTATTATGATTCCTTACAAGGAAAAAAAGTATGAATTTGATGGGGGGGGACTAATGACTATCAAATTTAAAGTTGGAAATCAACACTGTCTTCTGTGTGCACAAGCATACCTGGGCTGCCACATAAAATACATTTTGGTGACATTGTGCTTTGCCTCATGAATACTTTTCAGGAGGTGCAGATAATCAGAAAGTACCGAGACTTCTTCCATTGCAAATGTTAAAATGTCAGCACATTTATTTACAGTACAGCAAATGTTGTTATTAACTTTTGTTTTGTAGCATGTTAGTTCATTTGGCATATTTTTGGTAGCACATAAAATATGTTTAATATATATTGGGAAACTAAATTCCAATAGAATGAATGATAGCTAATATGTTACAGAACATGATGTAAAAGTTTTAGTAATTTTTTCCCTTTAAAAAAAAAAGGGGGGGGGGGAGGGGGAGTATGTTTCTTGCTTTTTTAAGATACTTTAGTGAAGCCCTAATGTATCATATTAGAGAAAGCAGAAAATTTTATTAATCTGAATCAAATTAATATTGAAATTAAGATAGCGACTATAGAAACTAGGAGTAGTGTCAAATTTTTTGAGGAGTCTGAAAATATTCAGGTCAGTGTTAGTTTTGTGAAAGGAATGCATTTGTGCATCGAGAAATTATATATATTAATAAATTATGTAGTATTAGTCATATGAATTTCTTTAGGTAATTTATTTTGATAAGCTATAAATTTATCTTGTATGTTATTTTTGATGCAAAAGACATAAATTCTTAAATTTTGTTTCTTTAGAGCTAATATCTTTCTAATAAAATTCATTTAATGCCTCTGCTCTGTGCAGTTGATAGTGACATCTTATTTTGTTTAGTATTTATAATTTTATCAGCAGGGGGAAAAAAATTGTGCTAGATGATTGAAATGAAAAACTGATATTTTGCAAAAATTCTACAGGGTGATTAAGAATTTATCATCAATATTTGGTGGAGAGGTAGGGAATAGGAAAAGGAGATTTCACATAGGAAAGTATGGGTGCAGACGAACTCATGGTGGTGTAGAGGGCACTGTGTGTTCACAACTTCCATACATAAGCACAGCTGTTTGGCGTGTGCAGCCAGTCATCATTCGACCAGGTGACTTTGCAGAAGTAATATGAACTGGTATATGTGGAATGAATTTGCAGAATATGCATGTAAATGCCAGGCATATTTCATAAGGTCTGGTTGTCCCTGCAATGCTGTTGTGAGGCATGCATTCTAGCACATGGTCAGTTCGAGCACCTGTTGTAAGTCTATAAAACTGACGCAAAGAAATGGTACGTGCAAGATAATAAATGATTTTTCCCTTACTACTTCCTTCTTATGTGTTCTTTCCATCATTGAACTGGGGTCATTTTGCCCTACTACATGTCATATGCACCCATGCATTCCTATGTGAAATCTTCTTTTCCTAAACCCTACCTCCCCACCAAATATTGATGAGGAATTCTGAATCACCTTGTATATTATGTGTTAAATAGTCATGTTTAACATCTCATTATTGATTTTAAATACTGAAAATGGGTAAGTTAAGTAATAAAAGGCTTTAACTATATATATTAATCTAAGCATCATTTTGTAAATATAAGTGACCATATCTGTAACATGCATTATTTGAATTTTTAAAGCTTGTTGACTGTAGTAATCATTTTGTAAATATATCTTTAAACTCCACACATAACCTCATTGCAGATGTACTTGAAGTTATACATGAAAAACCAAAGCATTATCAGATATCCTTCTTCCGTGTTCCACATTCTTTTATTTGTCTCCATTATTTTTACTTTAAAACCTCTTGAATTTTATAATAGTAATAATATGTGCATTTCTTGAATATGTGTAAGTTTCATAATGTTATAAATGCTTTTCTAGCATCATGTGTATACCATTTGTATACATGAAATTTTATATGAAGTATATTACAATGTTTTTAGAACCTTATTTCTCGTTATTCATGTTTGAAGGTTTTAATATTAAGGGCTGCCACTTCGTTTATCCATTCTGGAATATTTTTTAATCTGACAAATACCAGTACTGTTCTTAACAAAATAATGACATCTCTTGAGCTGTGTCTTTTGAAAATATAATACTGTGTAAAATTAGGCCAAAAAAAGGGGGGGTTGTGAAGATTAGGCCTACATTGGTGAAGATTTTGATTAACACTGTTGATTTCAAGGGTGATCATTGTTCTGTGTTATTGAGGAGCAGTAGAAGGATCTATGTGGGATTGCCCATAAAATAGTTTTATTCAATATCTATACCAGTCTAGAGACTTTTACACAGTTTTAAATTTTACTTTGGCATTTCTTCCAATTTCATAGTACTGTTTATCAGTTTCTATTCATAAAATACATCGAAAAGAACCTTTGAAATAAGTAGTAGGTTTGTCAATGACCGAATTCTTATTCAAGTGACTGTTATTTATAGTGAAGCATAACATCCTGAAAGTTATATTAGAAACCATATTAAAGGAAGGGGGAAATG